CCATCGAACCAACCATGACACATAACAGTGGCACAATACTTCTCCCACCCTTCTCTTTAAGAAATCAAAATATTGTTAACATCAAATACAGCATCCTTCAATAAACACTCCCTAATCTAATCTAGCGAAGGAGGAATAAGTTTCAGGCCATATTGCCCAATTGCCTAGATCATACATGCAAAACTATCGAGAGCTATAGTATTAAAAGGAATGTCGGTCATGTAAAACAACTTCGCAATGTACTCACATACCAACTTCCTCTGTTCTTTCTTGCATCAATTATCAATTGTGGTTTATTTGGTTTTTTGCTCTTTTCCTAAACCACAATTTCGAGGTTAAGGGTGAAAAAACATCCATTGGCCCCTTAGAGGTGTTTTTTTCCAACACGCCCACCAATATTTATAACCCTTTCCCTTGAGATTGGACTACCCTTTGCCTCATTGCAACTTCTGATATATTATCATCATCCTCATCATCATCATCAAAAATTGCATATCATCAAGTAATTCTTTTCTTTTCATTTCTTTCTTCTCTTTTTCGTTTTTCAAGCTATCCATATATTCTCTAATCTTCATTTTTATCTCTTTGACAGCTTGTGGAATTGCTCTTACATTCCCAGAAGTACCAGCTAAGTATTCTTTTTGCCAAAAAATACCCCCTATAAATATTTCCACAAAGCCTACAAATCACACAATTTCAATCTTTCGGATTTTTAAGTTGGCAAATCTCCAAGCCGGATCATTATTACTAAAAGATTGGGAAGAAGACATTGCCCCAAAAAGAAGTATTACTGTAATAGGAAAAAAAAAGTTACCGGTTACTTGAAGCAAGTATCGATTTCTTCACGGCCTTTGAAACCCTCGATTTGTTGTCACAAGTTCGCCTAAACTTCCTCACATCAACACCCAAAAGATACAACTCAACAACCAAGCATCAACAAATGTACAAATCGAAGAACTTCAACACATAAAATTTCTGTCCAACATGTTTTTTTTATTCAATCAATCCAATAAAAGCCATGGATGTGGCTGAAAAATGATGTTTGGGGGGTTTAATACCCCCCCAAACTCTTTTCCCCCATTTTCAAAGGTCAAAATGACCTTATTACCCGGCTTGATGCACTCGATGCGAGATGCAGCTCTAATGTGGAGAGATGCAGCGCATATGTGGACGCATCTCTCCAAACCTCACATGCGGGCATGTGTGATGCGCTGGGCAGCACATAGCGCCCGATGCAGCCGCATTTTAAAACACTGCCTCATGCCTCCAAATCTGTTGATATTTTGTCCTATTTAATTTTACATCTCCCTCCCTATTACTCTGAACTTGGACCTAATCCACCAGGGGTTCACTCGAATTAAGAGTATTCTTATCCTTATAAACTCCAAAGGACTAATCCCTACGGGGTTAAATGGAATTTAGGAACATCTCTGAAATACCTATAGGAAATTGACTTGGTCAAGGGAGTCCAAATTTAGCTCTAAAGGATTTTAAAAAAAAATCAAAACATTAAAGGAAGAATTCTAAGGTTGCAACAAGCAAAGTAAGCCATTGGGAAAAAGATCATAATGGCTGGCACTTGATGGATGAAGCGCTGTCCACTGTGGGCTGCAATTTCATGGCAAGATTGATCTCCAGGGGAAGCATGTTACAAGCAGCATAAAGGTGTCTCAAATGCAAGCATGTGGCTAAGATAAACATGTCTTAGTTTCAGCACAGAACAGCAACACGATGAAGATGAAAGGACGTGAAAAATCAGCATGAAGCTGGAGAAAGAGGCGGTTTACATGGGCCTGCACATGACACAGAGAGTCTCCGCAGAGCACCCATGATTAAGGCAGGTTGATCTCCATCCAATACATAATCTCTGTAGACATAAGAAATCTTCTCAAAGGTGCTTACATGTGGTAAAAAGGGGGGAAAAGATCTTCCTAATGCTGATACAAAATCAAGGTCAAGAAAAGTATCCTCTACAGGCTCCTCGAGGCATATGATAGGAGAAAAGGTTTCTCTATGGGTTGTTGCATGTTTACAATAGAATAAGGCTTCCTCTATGGGTCGAAGATCAAGCAAACATGATATTCAAGGGTTAAAACTAATGAGAAGAAGATCGAAGAGGTTCTAGAGCTGCACAAGTGAAAGAAGATTGAGTTCTTCACGGGATCTCATGTGCACTTGAAAGAGAAAACCTACAAGTCAATGTCTCACAATGTTCTTGAGTTGATTTCAAGTTTGCGCAGAAGACTTTGCCTAAGCAGGGCCATCATTGATCCATGAGATCCAGTACTGGGTGACCCCAATACCAGGGAGTAACGCTAAGCAACTAAATGTATGTTTTTATTTATTAGTTTCTTTGGTTTTATGCCAGTGTCTGTGAGAACAAGCAGCAAAAAGGTCCCAGTGCATTGTATACTTTTTCGTTTTGTATTTATTGATGTTGTAAAGATGTATTAAAGTTTGGAAGCACCTATAAAGTGGACTTGCAAGTATGAGTAAAAACATTGAATGAAAGTTTTTGAAATTTGAAACTTTGCACACACCACTATAGCTGCTTACAACAACATCAGAGTTAAGGCTAGATTTTAAATCATTAGATTCATTATCCTTAAGGATTGAAGGTATAGTTCTTGGAATATATAACAGTAATCCATTTGATATCCTGAAGCTCCAGCACTCCTACCATGGGACCCAATGGAACAGCTTTCACTGTACACCATTGCTCCAAAGAACTCCCAATGCAGTTGCCAGATTCGGTTCAAAGCTGCCTTTGACTAAGGACACTAAACAAACCAGAATGATAGCAGAGGAGATTTAACAAGCATGACAGGCTCGTTAAATGATGTGTAATTGCTTTTCCACCTGACCAGTCTCCATGTACTCCTCAAGAGCATCCAATCCCACAAAATTTTCAGGGAGCTCTCATCTCTGGGTAATGACATAAATACAATGATTAATGAACCTAGATGCTCCACAGCGTTCACCAATATCACAAGCTACATTATCCACTTGCTAACCATCATGGACCCCTGTCACCTAGGCATCCGTTTAGAAATTAAATCGTGTATGAAGTTCAAAGCCAGATTTTAAGCAACTAATACTCTTCCCTAAAGCTATTATATTCAAAGTTCTGATACAAATTATCCATCAAGTTGATCAGTCTAAAATCTCTAGTCATTCAAAATAATAATTAACAATGTTGATTGACAGTCACTCTGGGAATAGAGTGATTAAAAGTGGCACTGACTTATTGAGTATTATATTTCTGCCATGGAATTCAAGAAAGACATTCAAAAGCCTTCCTTGATGGACTCCCAAGTTCCGAGAATGCTTTTCGGGAATCAGCTCAGACAAGGGAACTTTTGTCTACCCCATTTTTATGATATCCTACTTCAAGCAAGGTCCTTTAAGTCCTGTTGGGTAACTAACATCCATTCTTTCAGATCCAATTCATTTTCTTTCATTATTAGCATCTATCAACCTAATCCTCGGTTCTATCTAAGAAACAGCGCCTTAAAGAATGTATTATTCTTATACTCAATATTACCAAAACATTAGCTCCATACCATGGGCTTTCCTTATGAAATTCTAGAGTTTCTAGACGACATGAAAATCTCTCTTCAGAGGAAAAAATCGGACACCATTCCACAATGATGTTTAATTAAGTGCTCAAACCACATCTACCCGAGTTCTAACGAGGTTGGAATTATCCGTGCTCCAATACTTCAGAATGCTATCAAAGAAAGCCTTTGGGAACTTAATATCCCACTCCAATCTCAATAGAAACGCATTCATGATGGCCACAACCAGGGCAGATTGATTGTTAGTTACCATAAACTGTACCCACCCAGAGATAAGCCAATGAGGCAACCAATCACTCTAGAAATGTCCAAATATCTATCCCTCCTATCATAGCAGAGTGTCGCATAGCACTAAACTCAAGGCCTACACCCACAGGACTTCTTCATTTCCCCTTGTTTCTCCAAGTTCTACCAAAAGAATTCTCTTAGTTACGGCATGCAAGGACCTTAAAATATAGTCATCATACAATAGATATCTTTTCCCAATAATTTCATCTAGATCAAAACCAAGTACCTTCCTACAAAAAACAATCATGCCCCACGACTATGGTAGTGCCCCGAAGAACCCAACTCCCTTGGCACTCCCCAAAGCTCCAGTCATAACAAACCAAAGTTCCTGAAAATCTCATTGTGCGGTTTCTCTCTGATCTGTCGGGATTAGCCTTCCATCAACAACATATCAACTTTGTTATCGCTCTTCTACTCTCTTATATGCATCCTCCTATCGGGAGAATTGAGGTTCCTAATAGTCTCAAAACCAAATGCAGACAACTAACTTATCCAGCCCATCTTAATCATTCTACCCCATCCTTAGTCATGAAGCTGTCTTTTCATTTGTCATCATTGACAGATGACAAGGCCTTCCCATTCCATCTTTTTCTTTCTTTTTTCTTCTAATAAAAGAATATCAAAGCTAAGAAAATAAAAAATGAGTGAAAAACTAAAACTCCAGAGAAGAGATTATTTCTTTGATTGTTTTTTTTAAGAATGATTATTTCTTTTATTGTTATAAACACAAACAAGTAGATCCATTAAAATGGCTGACAATATCATGGATAATGCATTTTTAAGAATGATTATTTCTTTTATTGTTATTAACACAAACAAGTAGATCCATTAAAATGGCTGACAATATCATGGATAATGCATGTTTTTTCTCTCTTTTATACTGTAGCTTTAACATGAAACAAAATTAACATAATCATCCAAATTTAACTCGTATCCTTAAAAACTCGTATCCTTAAAATGTGACAGTTACTTTCAGTGTCCCCTTACTGGATTTTTAGCATTTTCCCTATAGCCTTTTTCTTTTTAATTGTTGCAACCCATCTTTCTGGGGTCAGACATAGAAAGACATGCCCTAACTTCATTCAAGAACATTAAGACTGAATTAATCAATGTTAACTACCATATATAGCTCACCTCCTTGGAAAACATTTTAGACTTCAAATTGCTGCTTCCACCATAAGACTGGAGCCCCTCCATTTCAATGCCAGAGTTCTTCATATCTGTAAGTTCCTTTCGCAATCCCTCATCAGTACAACCAAGTGCATATGCATTCACTCCAGCATTGACGAACTCCTATAAAATCAGGAAGCAAAACAAGGCACTCAGAACAAATATGCTTATATATTAAAGCAACCCACCATTGAGAGAAGAAAACTAAAGCTATCAAAAAAATAACAACAACACTGAGTACTGAACATACTCTTAGATTATCTGAACCTCCACGCTCAATTACATCTCTATACCGCCGAAACAAGCTGACAGCAATATTACGTGATGAGCGGTATTCATCATCCATTGAAGCATACACTTGCCAACTGTGCTGCTAAATGGACAAACTGAATATAGTAAATTACCGCCGACGTTGATTAAGATTTCTAGATTATAATCAATAAGAAAATTAACAAAAAGAGTTATTAAAAACACCACGATCCTCTACAAGGAATAGCAAAGTTTGGGATCAAATCCTAAAATAACCGCATTTATGCAGCTAGCATACCCATATCAATACATATGGTATCCATTGCCATATTTAGGCATCTTACCTCAGATGCACACCTGAAATTTTATCAATCTCTTAAACTTCAATTCCAAAAGAAAATTGCATGAGGAAGAGCATTCACACTCCTACTGAACGCCAATACACCCACAATAACTAACTCACTGTGAGTAGGATGACATTTCGAATGATGCAAAACCTCGGCCACAGCAAAAAATAATGAAATACTACTACTTCTATGTAGGGAAAGTGAACGAAAATTGTGTACCCTCCATCTCATCGAATCCTTGGCTCTAAGATTGGAAACGCTTGGTGGACCAAAATGCTTGAATTCACAATAGACATTCTCAAACCTCATGGGATTTGACAGTCCATAATTAACCAATCTAACATTAAAAATCTTCACCGAAGTGCTCCTGCCATCATTTGCTTGCAACAAGCTGATTGGACTTGAGGCATATAGTGCCAGCATATTTGCACCATAGCCCCCAGCACAATCAGATTTTTCTGGAATGCATCTTCAAACTAATGAGAACCTGTTGCCTTCCAAAATACAGAAAAATGCATTAGCACATATCATACATACAATACCATATGAACTAATATAATAAGAGCATCCTGCTTATGCAGGAAAAAATTAATAAGTTTCATTCTTGAAAACAACAACAAATAACCAATATGTTTGGTACTTGATGGAGAAAGAGATGGATGGGGGGTACAAGAATATCCAGAACTGATGCAAATATTTTCATTATACAGGACTGACTTGAAGAGATAACCAAGTTTTTGTGTCGTGCTCCTCAATTTTTTTGCATGAGAAGTACAGCAGCAAGGGCCTGAGTATATCTTTGCTTGAAATTGTTTTGCAGATCGTGATTTTCCAAAATTTTGAAGAAATTAAAATAGTCCAAATTCTAGAGTTGGTTAAATATGGGTCGACTTTCTAATAAATACTAAGCACATAACAAGAAAATGCATCATTAATGAAAATGATGAGCAAGCACATAATAAGGAAGTGCATCAAGTATGAAAACCTCGGGCTAAAGACAAATCCCAGCTAAATTACCAAAACATTGGATCATCATTTGTCCTTAACTTTTCCACATGCACATTTTTTTGTGATTGAATCATTCGAAGTTTCCAAATTGAAAACATATATCATATAATCTACATCAATTGAATAATAGTCAATATGTTACTCTAAGATTGTATCCATCTCCATGACAAGAATCCATCAGTACAACACAGAATCTAAGGTTTTTAGTGGTATGTTAAATGCAAAATGAACATGATTAAGTTCTTCCTTTATGCATACAAATGTATTTAGTCGTGCAGTTCTTGGTTTGAACAGTACCATCCAAAGTAGCTTCCCCCAAGGCATACAGGCAACACAAGAAATTTGGACATAACAAGCAGGTCCAACTCAGTTGTAGTCAAGGCTGAACATCATCCAGCAAGGCTAGGTCACTGACCACAAAAGGAAGAAGAACCACATCCTGCGGTCTGGAATAGGGTGAACCATGAAGGCTTATTTTCAAAAACTTCGATGGTGGAATCGTTAAGGCAAAGTAGAGCAGGACACAAATTCCAACCTCTCCACCAAGCATCCAAAGCTCCGCTATAAAGAAAATGCATAACAAAGGACTAATAATATGTTAATCTCATTGTGACACTCCAAAAATCCTGCTTGTCTTAATTTTTGGCCATGCTCATAACTCCTGAGCAGAAGACATGGTGTATAATTTGTCAAGAGAAACCGCACCATGCCACGTGATTCAATACAACTATCTAGACATGAGAAAAAAAACTAAAAAAAAAAATGCAAAACTACTTTGAACTGAGCTCCCTTCGTTGAGTAACCTTGGATGGCATGTGGACGGTTATAATACAATAAGACGTAAGCGACGAGGTGGTTCAACCTAAGAATCTTCCAACAACAGGCATGAATTTGCAAACTACAGCCATGTCACCACGTGGTAATGAGACCTAAGCTCAGTATAATTCATTTCTCGCTTAAACTTCTCAAATTGAAAAACTTAATAGACAAGGTACTATTGGAGATATGGTGAACTGAAACTTGGTACTATTGGAGATATGGAAAAATGATCTAAAAGGATCACCAGGAGAAGAAACATCGAAGTTGATAACCAATAGCAGCAGTAAAATCACATAAAAATTACTGTAACAAATAAATAGTGAAATAATCAAGGAAAATCCACGTGTATAGGCGAGAGCTTTAGAAAATTGAGCTGACTTTTCAAATCCCTAAGCATTTTAGCATCTTGTTCCCCACCTCTTTAACCAATGTATATGCCATGGCTGACAGGTTCAGGGACTCATGAACGTATCTCCAGTACCATAAAAAGAAAAAGAACGAGGAGCTTCCCGGTTAAAAGGAAAATCATTCTATAACAACCCATGAAAGACAAACAAAACAAATAATTGGGAATAAAAAGAACTCGTCTATCTGTAGAGGTTCCTTTCAGAAGGATAAATCATTTTATAAGAACCCCTGAAGGAGAAACAAAACAAAAATGAGAAGCCAAAAAAAATCTCCTATATGAAAAGAATTAAGGTATTTTGCAGTGTAATTAAGCATGAATAGACCGAATTTCAGCATCGCGAAGTTCTCTTCATATGGAGAAAGAATTTGATAAGAACCCATAAATGAAAACAATGAAAATAACTGAAAACAAGAAAAAGAAGGGCATTTCAGAGGGCACATATACGGTGTGAACTAATGTACCGAACGTTCTTGGATTAGGAAAAGAAAGAAGAGAGTACCAAAATGGATTATCATTCTTGGTTTAGTAGAGATAACAAAAGGCACATTTTAAAGATTAATGAAGATAAAGGAAAATAATTTTATAGAAGAAGAACACATAACCAACCAGGTTCATATGAACTCTTCAGTTGCAGGCGACTATTTAATTGTACCAAAGAATACAACATCCTTTTCCTGCACACTCCACCATTTGAACTCGGGAACCAAAAGAAGTACGAATAAGAGAAGGGAGAAGTTTATATAGAGCCGAGGCTCTAAACAATCAAATTAGATCTCACCTCAAAAATTTTACTAAAGAGGTTGTTTTAATGCCAAAATATCGTCAAATTAATCATCTCAATATCAAAATGCAAAAAGATGCCAAACAAAACTAGATTTCAAGGTTAAGAAATATTGCATCTTCTAATGTATTTTTGGATAGTCAATTTTTAAGATTTTCAAATTTTTATGGATCTACTTCATCTACACGTTTTTTTTTAAACTTTCAATTTTATAATTAAATATGAAAATATATTTTAAGGCTATAACAAAGATTTCCAACATTGAAATCATATTTCTCAATATCATTTGAAGACGTGCTTTACTTTAATTGTTTAAAGCCTCGGCCCCATACAAACCGCACCCTTGCTACCGCTCAATTACCACACCAGAGAGCCGCCCCTCATTTTTCAGAAAAATGTGAACCATTTATGAATTTTTAAAAGGATGCAGTTAGCATGTGGCCAAGCCAGCACATATAGAAATATGGGCCCTTTAAGAAATTTATTTTTAAAATAGATTTCAATTCTAATTTTTAGAGAATATAGAAGCTTTAACATGAAGATTATGAATATGAATATGAATAAATAAATAAATTTTAAAAACTAAAAATAATAATTCTATTAAGAAAACATTTGCACTATTAGTTTCAATTGTTTATAGATGGATGCTTTATACCTTTGGACCACGTATGGTACAAATGCAGTCCAGCTCAGCCCGCATGAAACAATTGTTCTTTTGAAAAAAAAAAATATAGAATAAGCTCATTTACCTTTGGTACAAGGGGGCCACATTTATCTTACGTGTGAAATTGGGTGGGTGCAATTATTCCATTGACCGAGCTCAAACTTCAAAAGAAATTGTCTCAAAAATATACATAGAGCCATTTGAAATGCTTAATATTTAAAATAATTTTATGAGAAATAAATAATTGCATTTGCGTTCCTCGACAAATGTAAGGTGGTAGAGAAAAGATATAAAAAGGACTTCTTATTCCCACGGGAGCATATACTATCCATCTACTCCCTTAGGCAAAACTTACAATGAATATCTTTTAGATCTCAAATTTTAGGGATGTGATATTTAGAAACCTACAATCAACCTCAATGAAAAACAAAAAAAAAAAATTTGGAGTCGCACTCTCAATGTGCCTAAAAAGTCAAGGGAAAGATTTCTATGTAGCATAGAAGTTCTATCCTCCCCTTACCATTCAGCCGTCCAATTTTGATCAAGAGAGCCACCCACCGTTTGATCTTAGATCCGACGTCTCAAAGTATTTTATTGTTAGTTTTTTTATACAAATTGTATGAATATGAAATTTCGTACGTGTCATCTTCTCATTGAGGCGCACTTATAAAAATATTAAAAATAATTTTTCGATAAAATATAATGATCAAAATACCCCTTGAAACTTTTAGGGGTATTTTGATCATTTTATTTTATTGAAAATATGTTTTTTATATTTTTTGCTAGTGCGAGTTTAATAGAGGAATGGACTCCAAATTTTGGTGTCAAAATAGTTTATTGAAAAAAAATTAAAAATAAAATAATGTAGAGACGTAACATTGTGATTGGGGCAATCTAATTCAGAATGAACGGTTGGATAAATAGGAGGATAGAACTTCTATGCTACATGGTAAGAATATAAAGCTTGCCCAAAAGTGAAAACAAATAGCATCCCAAGATTGCACCAAAGCCATCCAATTTTTAGAGGGAACCATGTAGATATTCAAAAATTCAAAATCCAATATTTTAATTTGGAAATAATCATCTACATATAATTAGATTGCAAACCAAAACTTCCACAAAAAAAGAGAAAAAAATCCCTTACAAGTGTTTTTCCGGAGGGAATAAATATATAGTATGCTCTAGGGGGAGCATATACACTCTCCTAAAACACCTTTCGTGAAAAAATTATATTTTGCAAATTTATTTGTTTCTATATATAACGATCACTAGGGATGACGAGCCCCTACCCCCAGTTTATCTCTTCAGATAAAAACTGTAAGTTTTAATTTTTGAAATTGATTTGTTTATGCATATTAACCTTTTTTTTTTTTTTGATAATTCAAACTATAAGTTTTAATTTTTGAAATTTATTTGTATCTACATATTAACCATTTCTTTTTTTTTGGTAATTCAATGGGGATGACGAGCCCCTACCCATTTTTTAAAATGGTTAGTGGTTTTTTAATGCGTTCGGTGAGAATGGAAACCTAGACTTTAGCCGGGGCACAAGTGGTGTTACCACCACGACTCAACCCCTTTCTCAATAATATTTTAAATATAGTGCATATTAACGATCTCAATGTTATATATTATACTTATCTAAAAATTAGGTCTAAAATTCATCTGAAAAATGGATCTTGAAAAGGGGAACAAAACTACACGTGAGTACTTGTAAAAACGTTTTCCTTTTATCTATTTGCTGCTATTCCAACTCATGAATTTGACCATATTTTGATGAGTAATTTTAGATTAACTCAAAAAATATGCATAGAATGTTAGATAGTTGATCGCTCATAAAATTTGAGAGATATGTTCATGGTCACATTTTTTGACCCAAAAATTTGGGGCAAATATCTTATAATCGTAATTAGTCATCCCATTAGTCATCCCACAAGGATTATGTTATTTCGAGGCTCGTCACGGTCCAATCAATGGGTTTGGATGGTGATGAAAAGAGTGGACAAAAAATGACATCATACCACAGCGATTAGCCTTGTGATCATATATCATTTGGGCTCGTCACTCGTGATTATATGTCTGATGTGGCCTTGAGGATTTATAGTGTGGGAGCCCAAGAGTTCATGGTGGTCTTAACAATGCTAAGGCAAACCTTAGTAGCAAAAGAAATGATTTCATGCAACGGTTCTATAGTAATATAATGTGACTTTCAATCTATTGTTGCCGTTTACATTAGGTCATTCTCCTGTATGACCACTTGTAGAAAAATTACATGTCACTATTTTTTACCTGTATGTAGGGCCGGGATAGTTTTAATATAGCAGTAAATTAGCTTCTCATTATCTCATGTTGGTTAGACAGTGTAACATATTGAGTGTTTGTTTGTCTATAAATTATATTAACATGAAATTTTAAACATGTGCTCTTTCTTTAAGGGTACAGACTCAGACAAAAAAAAGGCATGAATGCTTGATCGCAACAATGGGAATTAAAGGTTCAAAAATGCTATTTGACCTGAGTCACGGATCAAATCCTTTTTGATATATGCTCTTCGCTATTCCTATGTAGTAATAGACATCAGATTCTATCATTTCATCATGCTACTTGTGTTAATGTCCTTCTCTTGGTATAGTGGAAATGGCATTCATTGCTTATAGCTCCATCCCAGCGGCACTGTTTGGCTGATGGCAGTTGCTTATCTTTTGAGCCAATCTCTTTTCTCGGAGGCTTGCAGTTACAATTGTGTAGTATGACAGCCCGGAGAGTGGTCATTCCTATTCAATCCTTTCAAGATCCGCTCCCGAGAGATGGTCTCTATGGGTACGATAATTCGGGCTATCGTGCTCTCTATGGCTTTGTGCGAGTCGTATTTTTTATAGTAAAGTTATCAAAATACCAATAACTTCAGGGGCATATTAATTTATTAGAAACTTTTTTTTTATTGGGTGAGCCTCGACAAGAAGTTAGCATGTCAAGATAATTTATAGAAAAGTCAAAAAAGAAAATTGTGGTAGTATTACTGAAGCTATCCTAAATTTTCGTTTGGATCAGAAGGCTGAGAGGAAAAAGATACATAATTTGCATGCAGAAGGTTACCTTTGTGTTATTGCTAGCTCAATATCCATCTACTTGAATTGTTCATTAAAGCTAATGCAACCATTTTAATATTTTTTAATGAATTATTTGTATGGATTCGTTTCGTGACCATTTTTAGGCCAAATTCATCAACAGAACATGCCAAGAAGAAATCCAAAAAAAGAAAGCAGGTGAGTTTTACTTGTGATAGATGTAAGGTGAACATCTAAAATTTATTAAAAGATGTAGTTCTGGTCTCGAAAACCATATTACACCTTTAAAATCTATTTACATTCCTAATGATGAAATTTAATTTTTTCAGAAAATGTATTGATCAAGTAGACCTATAAGCACTTGATTCTGAAAAATACATGGTCTAGATAACTTATCAAAAGATGTATTATTTTTAAGATTTGAAATTCTTTTATTCTTTTCTATTCATTCATGCCGAGGTCGCTATGATCAATTAGAGGGTCGCCCAACTTCGGAACACTCTTTCCTAGATGGATTTTGTTGGTGCACTTTACTTTTATAATATAACGTTGATACCTTACATACACTTTTTCTTCGAAATATATAAACAAGAAAAATTTACATATGAACTATGTTAAATATATGGAATCACCATTTGGTCTATGTTATGAAAAACTTAATGGAAAGGCCTTTCTTTTTTTGTTTTTTGTTTTTCCCACCCTTAGTTTAAAATTGCGAACATCGAACCTCTTTATTTTTTATTTTTTGAACCTCTTTATTTCTTATCTTTTGGCATTTGCGAACATCGAACCTCTTTATTTTTTATTTTTTGAACCTCTTTATTTCTTATCTTTTGGCATTTGTAGGGTAGTACAAGGGATAAGATAACAGACTGCTCCATTTATAGGGCAGTTCAATAGCGGCAACATCAAACTTCAAATTAAATATTGATGGGGCTTCATTGCATAATCCAGGTAGAGTCGGTTGGGGTGGTGCTATTAGAGATTGTGATGGTGCTTTTATTACAGGTTTTTTGAAACCTTTTGGAATCGCTTCAAATAAATATGCGGAATTATTGCTATTGAAGAAGGCTTGATCCTTGTTGACCAGTCACAGTGTTTTCCCCTTCAGATTGAAAGTGATTCAGCCTTGTTTGTTAATGTTAATAATGGATGGTGTCAATCTCTTTGGAAGTTACATACAATTTCAGCAAATTGCAAACA